GAGCCAATACTACCCTTCGTCCAAAAATTATCTTCCGTTACGCGTTACAATGTTTAATTAAAGTTAATTTCATGAAATCACTTTCTATGAAAATGATGTGTAATTAAAAATTACGTATTTAAAAATAATTTTTTTTCAAAATGACATGACTTTACTGTTTTATCAAATGAGCAATAAAAATTGGCAAAAAAAGTAAATAAATTTTAACTATGTTAATAGTAAACGGGAAATAATTTTAGTGCAATATTGAAAGAATAAAGGATAATGATACCGAAAGTGGCTTGGGAGCTGATATTGATTTCGTGATAGACCGATCCATATTTGACCCGGACTCGGATAGTGGGAGGAACCGGGTGGGTATCAGAATCTGGGCTCCGTTTCTGGACCAGCATTCCGCAGGGCCTCATCTCCCACTCCTTTTCTTGGCCTCCGGCGGTGCCGACGGAGGAGACGCCTTTCTCCGTCGTCGGTGGAGGCGCGACGGCGGTTCCCGTCTTCCTTCTCATCATCTTGATTGACTTATTAGCTAATTGACGGTGGAAGAAATTGGAAATTCTCAGATCAGAGCATTGACTTCTCGCCGGAAAGATCAATTCACAGCTGATGGAGAAATCAAATCCGAAAATCCGACAAGCTTTTTCACGCCCGAACTTGAGCGCAACCCACCAGTCCGACGGCCACGTCACGGCGTTAGAGAAAGAAAGAATCCATCTTTTCCCCTGTTTCTTCGCGCAAATAGTAACGGCGGGCGTACGTCACCGTAAAACTGAAAAATTCAAAAGTAAGCGGTTGTTGAAACCCCGGCGGGGAAGTGTCGGTGGTCAAAAGCGCCGGAGAAGGCACGGAATTTTAGATCTTGTTGGGGACCCAAAAAAGAATAAGGGAAATGAGTGGGGCAAAAGAAGTGAATCTGTTGCCGGAAGGAAAAATTTCCCGGCGAGTTCGCCGGTAATGGTGCGTAATAATGCAGGGTGAATGAATTCTTCTTCCTTTTCCTTTAAAAGAGAGGGAATCTATTTTGGGTTTGGTAGGAGAGCTGTCGAAGGAAGGGGGGAAAAGAAGGAAAGTATAGGAATGGGGGAATTTTTTTGCTTTTTTTCTTTCTATTATTTGTGGAACCATACTAGGGTGCCAACACATGGATGGGTGCTACCATAAGTGCACTCATGTTTTGCACAGACATTGTTACCGATAGGGGTGTAAACGAATCGAAGCGAATACCGATATATTTGAATTTGTATTTGTTTAATTTTTTCGAATACGAATCCGAACCCGAATATGAGACGAATTCAAAATAAGATTTGAATAAGTATTTGATTAATATTCGAATAGTTATCGAATCATAAACGAATATTTGAATAATCATGCTATGTAATTTATATGATGGACCAACATCAATTTGTAATTTAACTTACGATACTTTTATACTATACTATATTCCGTATATAAAAACATTAATACATCTGCATCTTACACAAATTATATTTTATAAAATATAACTATTAAAAATCATATTCTTTAGATTTTTGTGTTACGTTAATTTATTGAATTCTTAGTATTTTAAATAGACTTTATACTATATTACTTTGCTTGACTTTTGATGTTGAAAACATGGTTTGTGTATATATATACATATATTCGAATATTCGAATATCATCCGAATCGAATATATCCCTATTTGTATTTGTATTTGATTAATATTCGAATCAAAAATAATATTTGAATTTGAATTTGTATTTGAATAACGCGAATTCGAATCATCATATTCGAATAATCGAATTTAAAATATTTGATTTGTTTACATCCCTAGTTACCGAGTAGAAATTAGTTTGTGAAATTATTGATTATTGGAGTGCTACATACGGATTTTATTTACCCAATATTAATGCGTCCTTAAAATAAGATTTGCCATTTGATTTCACAAGGAGATTATCTTTCTTTGACTTTTTTTAAATTAAACTTTACTTCGTATAAATTTTGGTTACAAAACAAAAATTTAGTTGTGATGTAGATTTAATATATTTCATTTTGTTGTCATATTTGTGCAGTTTTGATTTATCAATTTTTTTAAAATTTGTTTGATACGGTTTGGCTGTTTTTTATAATATAGATTTAATATGATTTTTTCTCTTAGATTCGATACTTTTTGTTTAAATAAAAAGGCTAAAGTATGATTAAAATATAGGTAATATGTCAAATTAGAAGTTCCATACATTTAAATGAAGAGGCAAGAGGTGGCACGATTATTGGTTTATAAAATGAGTTTTATAAAATTAGAAAAAAAATGTTAAAATTTGGTCATTTAATAATAGCCGGTAAAAAGCCTAAAATTGAAGTAAACATAAAAACTTTATTCTTTTCTTAATGCTCCGTATAAAGTAGGGAGTATAAACTATAAATAAAGCGTTGAAATGAGGAGTAGACGAATTAAAATCCTCAGTTAATATTCTGAAAAGGGGATTATTAATGAGGTAATTAGAGGTTATTCGCGTCCCGTGTGTCATTAAAAGATCAAAGAATTAAGCTAAGGGTACACCAATATGGGTACCCCAAGTGTACACCAAAGCCAACACAGAAACAAAGTGTCTGTGTTGCACAAACATTTTGTGTCTGTGTATGTCTGTGTTGGCTTGATGTACACTTGGGATACCCCATGTTGGTGTACCCTAGGCTTGCCCAAGATCAAATGTTGATTAATAAGTGGTGGTGGTGGAAGGAACATCACACCTGCCCTTTAGACCTTTCCCTTCCCTGAAAGCAATGTTTTCCACCGACAACTTTTGACGCGCCGGATCCCACGTGGCTTCTCGGTTAATTCCCTGGCCCCGCCGCGTAAGCCCGATGCCGAAAATATTCCGAAAAACCGAGTGAAGTTGATGAATTTAAACAATAATAGGAATAGAGTTTAAAAATATTTACTAGAAGTACACAACTTGTAAATTGATTTTCTTTTTCCCGCATTTGTACTTTATATTTTAATTTTACAAACTTCACATTTTATATTCCAAATTCTGATTTTAAATTTCAATCTCAAAAATTTGATCAAAATTACAGAGTATTACAATATTCAAATCTAAGATTTCGACTTCGTTTGAAAATACGGTGGGGTTCTAGTGACATGTCACTGTCATTTTGGGACACTTCCAGTGTTCCGTTTGCAAAATTGACGATTCATTATAATAGTCACACATTTTGTGGGGGCTTATGGCAGAGTTGGAGTGGGGGTGCTGTGGAAGGGGTAGGGTGGGAGGTTTACGGGGTGGGTTAAGGGGTAGGAACCGTCAATTCTGCGATTGAGGACATGAAGTGCCCCAAAATGACAGTGGCATCGGAGTGTCACCGTATTCCGGTGTCACTAGAATCACACCGTTGAAAATAACATTTTCAATTAGGGTCAACATTCATAATTATTTTTTACAATTGCAAATAAATTTTGAAAATGCTAAAATTAAATGTTGTCATTAGAATGTAAGATAATATTTTGGAAAATACTAAAGTAAAAGTTGAAGTTGTTGCCAAAGGACACTTAAAAACTTTAGACTTTCTTCAAAAATAAAACGCAGAGAAACAAATCCTAAATTATTATTCCATAGCCTCCGTCTCTTTTAATTATTCATTTTTTTTTATTTCGTGTGTCAAACTTTAATCAACAATACACAAAAATTCAAAAGAAATATTTATGTCAATATGCCAATTTAAAACGGAGAATGTGATTCGGCATGAATACTTTAAAATTTTCATGGTCGCTATTTCAAAAAAAAGTATTTTTACAATAATACTCTGAAAAAATTTTACTTTCACAGTTTCACATGGATCCCTTATCTTCCATAAGTATACATGATTAATGTATTCTTTTGTTAGAGCATTGATGTAAAACTATTTAATTCTTAGAAACTCCAATTATAATTGCTCGAGGCGTGAGAACCTCGAGGTCGAAGTTTGGTAGCTGCGATGAGAGACAAACATGCAAAGCAAGAGGCTTCTAGACCCAAAATCTCACTCTTACGCCAACTGAGTGATATTATAACTCAATTTACCTCATCATAGCCAACTGTCTAGCCAGTGCTGAGGGACCCTCAAGGATGGAGGTTTTCCTTTTTTTTCAATGATAATTACTCCCTTAGTTGCAGAGTGTTTTTTTTTATTTTTTACTTTTTGGAGTCAATCAAGATCAAATTTTAACTTATAATTAAATAAAAATTACATAATGTGTTGGTGAGATAAAAAATATTTTGAAATTATTTTACAAGATTAATTTAATGAAAATATTAAGAGATTTTATTTAACTAATAGTCAAAGTGTATCAATTTTGACAGTAAAAAGTCAAATCTTGACAAAAAATTCTAGAATGGAGGTAGTATGTAAATTTAGAGTATTTATTTAAAAAAATTCTCAAAGTATTAAAATGAACTTTTAAAAATATATGCTCCGTATTGTATTAAATGGATAACACAAGTTTATACAGAGTACCATAACATTTGTGCAAAAAACTATTTTTATTATACATTATATATTTGGATAACACACGTTGATATTTTATTTTAGAAAAAATGTTTTACATAAAATTTAGTTTTTCTCTCTAGACTTAATTAGTTTCTTTTAATAAAATAGCAACTGTGTGATCCTAAGTAGATATAAAAAAGTTACACTATGGCATCATCAGTGTAGTTTTCATCAAGAAATACCTTTACGCCGCTGAGTAGTAAAAAAATAAACTGTTCACTAAATAAAAGTCGTACTATTTAAACTAGGTTCATACTCATGGGTTCCACGATCAATAATTTATCTAAAATAAAAAAAGTAAAAATACCTTAGTACAACATAATAATATTGAAATTTAGAATTTGAATATAAACAATAAATCATAAATATTTATTACTCACCCATCCCCTTTAAAGTTGTTCATTGCAGTTTACGATATTTTTTTTTACTTTTTGATTGAGTTTCAATAAAATATCGTAAACTGCAATGAACAACTTTAAAGAATAAATATTTATGATTTATTGTTTACCTTCTTATTGCCTTCAAGACCCTTTCATCTGCATAAATGAGATAAGTGGCATTATTGCTTGGCGGAGTTGAGATTACATTTTCCATATCTGTCTCTATGACAATGTGCTTCTTTATTTTCTTCAACAAGATTTTCCACATTGAAATTGATGTCTCGTTTGTATGATTTCAAGCCATGTTTTGATGCGTTGTGAGTACCTTTTCTCTTCCTTCCCTCAGCTAAGAAATTAGGAGTTTGAGGGTTAAATGCTGAAGGCTCAGGCATCTTTCCTGACCTAATAGCCAAACCAGGAGACTGCCCAATCCTATTTTTTCTAGTATATTTCCTCTTTACACCTTCCATTTTGGGACTAGGTCGTTAGATCCTTCTAGGTTCATCAATTTTTTTTGGCTTTTTTTTTTTCATTTTTCCTTGAAACCATCTGCTTTCTCTGCTTCTGTTGGGGTGTTGATCCTATTGCTATCTGCAAAGCATTATGTTAGATAAAATGTTAACATAAATGCCAACTATGAGTTGCAAAATACCAGCACAAAATAACAAATTTATCCAGAAGTTTCGTACCAAAAAACAACAACAACAACAACAACAACAACCCAGTTAAATTACACAAGAGTAGGGTCTGGGGAGGGTGTGTGTACGCAGACCTTACCCCTACTCGAAAGTAGAGAGGCTGTTTCCAAAGAGACCCCCGGCTCAACGTCGAAAGTTGCATTGCTTGACTAACTGCTACTTCATTAATTAAAGAAGCGCAGACAACTTAGAGATCCATTTTGATTTATTCCATCACACCCCAAAGCCAAAAAATGGTGAAATTTTGGCTCCATTGGAGATATAAATATATATCTGTTTCAAATGATTGATTAAGCAAGCAACTTTATATAGGATGAATCACCACTTTTACTAAAAACGAAAAATCATAAACTAGATTCAAGTTCATGAATGAGAATAATTGTATAAATCAACAATAACCTACCATGAAAACTGTACTTCAATTATCAGAAACAATCACTGTGTTAGCATAATAAGTCAGTGAAACTGGATGACATGGATAGGAAAGGAAATAAAGGCAAGTCAAGCCTATCACCTAGAGCCATTTGATATAAGTTTATGCAGCATTCAAAATTAGCTTCTCTTTTTCCCTGTGGAAAATTCTTACCGTTTTTTAGGCCAAAAGTGTCAACGTTCAAGAAAAGAAATCGGAAAATAGTTGTCATTTGTTTAAAGGAAGCTTGCAATTGTGTATCCATGGATTCCTTTTGTTTTGGTGTAAAGAAGGGACTCATTCTCATGTAGAATAACTTATTATTCCCAAAGTTATAATTTCTCTCCCCCACAAAAGTTTCTGACTTTCCTTTTTCATATATCTCAAAATAATTTTTCCACTTTTTCACTATTCCTTTTTAGNGGATCTTAATCTCTATGATAGAATGTCTACATAAAAATATCACGGAGTATGACTATATGAGCCACAATCTTTTTCTATCATACGGAGTGAGTCATTATTCATTAACTTGCAAAGAGGTACTTAGGCATATGTTTAGATTGATTCTACATGTCATCTCTTTGCCTCCATTCAAGTTACAAATGTCATCTATGGTATTAACTCACAATTTCTTCCTCTAGTAAACTCCCAACGAGGTACTTTGGTATCCATTTTGATTGATTATATGTGGCATCTCTTTGCCTCCATTGAGGTAGTGACTTGACTATATTGATTTCATGTATAGACTTGAGTTATTCAAGAAATCATTCCCAGGTTCCCTAGCATGATCAATTGCTTGCTTGGAAATGTCATATAGGTAACCAACTTGCAAATTCCTCTGGTAAACTCGCAAAGAGATGACATGTATAATCTCTTTGCAAGTTTATGACTCACTCAGTATTATAGAATTTCGTGATAAAAAATTCATGGAGCATGATTGGTATGAGCCACAATCTTTTTCTTAAAAGACATTTTTGACAACCCAAAAAGAAATACAAATACAAAATTACGGGCATACGGGAAGGAGAATGTTTATTTAAACCAAAATAGAGGTGCATAATCAAATAACGGGACAAAGAAAGTATATTTAAACAATGTTACTCGGTATTAGTCCAGAATTCAACACAGAAATACATAAGACAAGCAACAAGGAATGGAGTATGTAATAGAATCCAAATCGGATGGTACATAGTACTATAATTAACTCTAAGAGATTTGTTGCGCAAAAATTTAAACGTCGTGTGTGAGTGGCATCTAAGAGGTCGGGGTTCAGTTACATTCATTTACACCAATGTAGAGTTCAATTAAACGTAATGTTCAAGTTGTTCACATATACACTAAGATTGATGTAGAAAAGATACATGTGATGCAAATTAATCATTACATTGGTTGTGAAAATTGATCATTATATCTAACATATTTGACTAGTCGAAATGATTACATATGTCATCGTATGGTATGAATAATGATTGATTGTTTAAAAGATATAAGTTTCTAGCCGAACTACTCTCAAATGAGTGTAAATCAAGCATGAAAATGTTGAGATAGCGTTGGTGTAAATAGTGGAGTATCCAGGATTTGGTTGGAGACCAAAAAGGGAGTTTAGGGGCAACACTAGGAAACAATTAGAAAAAAGCAATCATCTTTGACCAAAAATGAAGTTCTTAATTTTGTAGCATGAAAGTGCAAAACTAAAAGTGTGCATAACATAATTAGCAAAACATGTAGTTTAAACTAGGGGTGCCAGACAATGGATGCAAGTATGCAACATACTCCGTATGGCACAAGGTGGAGGATACAAAGACCAATCTCAGACGTTAGGGGAGGAACTAGAGTGGCTCTAGCTAACACATGAGGAACTCTAACTTCACAACTACGGGGTAGTTTGTCACAATAGAGACAAACTCTTCTAGACGCTACTGCTGAAACTACTCTTCACTGGTTTCATAGAGGCAAAGAGCTATAGGATCATGTGCAACAGCAAGGATTTGAATTTATGTGTAGACCATTATAAACTTTGGGCAGTCTCTTTTCCTCCATATATTTCACAATCTTCATCTAATGCTAGACTTTGGCTTTGAAATATGATGACATGGAATAATGGGTGAAATGGGAATAAATGATAAGCAGATAATGATATGGCAAGCATAATAATGTTATTAACAACAAAGAGATATGTACGTACTGTACAATATGGTTGCCTCCACGAACAGCCGATTCATAATGCTGCAGTTAATGGTAATGCCACCAAGGTAACTTTCTTGAGTCTTGACCAGACCAGCGCGTAAGGAATCCAGCTTTAGCTATCTAATAATCAAATGGTTAGAGTGATATATACCACACTTTTCCATTTGTAAAGAGTACAGAGTCATTTGCATCTAAAGTTGACTTCGTGGAGCACATGTGAAGCAGAACTTTCAATGTATAATGACATCTTTAATGAACTCTCTAGAAAATACAGTTTGTGCTGACTGCTATTACAAGATTGTCAGGAGTCTTAATTAATGAGACTCAAGAGAATATTATTTCTCTAAAAATAACCCAACAATTATAAGGGTTTATTAGAGGTCCTCAATGTACACCAACTGATATATATATATATATATATATATATATATAAAGAGGTATACCAAGTACCAAGAGGCTCTGTTTTTATATAAAAGAAAAAAAAGAATAACAAATAGTTGGGGCTTTATAGGAAATGATAACATTAAAAATCTGTTAAGGTGGACTTACCTATAAATTTTGCAGCAACTGCTTTAATCCAGTCTCTGTCTTTATCGTCATAAGCAAAATTGCTTCCAGAAGCTACCAGGACAAAACCCTCACTTTTTGCAGGGTCCTTGTAACTTGGATAAGGAGAACACATCAGTGGCTGTACTAGGAGGGATCGAGTCCCCTTGGGAAGCAGCTCCCAAAGTGCAGGATCTGAAATGTAAGACATTCTTTGTAACTGATCCCTTCTTCGGAGAATAAATGTTTGCATTCAAACAAATGGAGTATCCCAATTAAGGACAAGGGTATACAGTTCCACCTGTCCCAGCTTTTTTTGCCCCAAAAAAGAGTCATATTTCATCAAACGAAAGTATATTTTGATGCAGTTTTTCAAAAAAATCTCAAAAAGGTTAACAAACAAGTTCAACCTGATACATTTTATTAAACTAACAAATAAATTTAGAAAATACAAATTTGCCATCTTTAGACAGATGCAGTGGTATTCTAATGCAATCAAGTAGCATAATTTCATGGAAATAGTATATATAACTAATATAAGTGCAACCATGTTAAGAAAGAAATGTAAGTTAGTAACTAATCCCATGGTAGTAGGACAGCCCTACAGATGCAAATAAAACTGCAAGTCATTATTATGATATCCAATTCATCAATAGAAAGAAAATAGATAAATCAAACTGGCATTATTGATAATCACCGCGATTAGAAATTTTGAACCTAATCAGTAATCACATGGTAGTAGGACAGCTCATACCAGTAGTTTGCGGAAAATAAAGTGTATCCTTCAAGCTTATTAGACCAAGTTGCAGAATTTGTTTCTCAACCCAATTACATGCATCGTCTTTTGATACATCTTGTGGAGTTTTCCAGTAGCCACGCACACACAATGCATCTTGCGCTGAGATAAGCTGCAATATAATATAGAGCAAAAAAATGGCTTTAAAAAATAGCAGGACGACCAAGCCCAACACAGAAGAGGATACTGATATTACTAACAGTATACCACCGAAAACGTGTTTGTATTGCGCAACAGAGTATATGTTCCCCAAGCCAAATCCTCCTTGAGAGAATCCGGAACATTTTGTGAGATGACAAAGATTTGGTTCGTGTCTTCAGGAAGATTCCTTTCATCATGAAGAAGAGCACCCTACAATTAATGGAATAACAGAAGTTCAAAAATATTAATTAGCACCAGGCATAGTCTTATAAACTAAGCAAAAGTGGAAAAATCTATGCTCTGACTTTTATATTATCATAACAAAAATGGATCTGTACTTTTTTAGCAGAAGTGTATATGATTGTTTGATGTCTGTCAAAATATATTTACCTTGCATACTTAAACAGAAAAGGCAAAATATTTTACCTAGTAATAATAGGTTATATGGTTTTGAAGAGCACACTTTGCATAATAAACTTATCGATTTAGAAGTAATGGACTAATGGTCTTTCAATAACAACCATCTTCTATTGCACTGATAGCAAAAAAATAAAAGAACTGAAAACTACAAGATCTCAAGAAAATCTGATAATTTAAGAGAATGAAATTAGAAATGGGAAATTACCTTTAGAAATCTCCCAAGGTAGGGGATAACTACAGAAAATGCAGCTAGAGAAAGGCCTAAAACCTCTGTTCTCTACAGAATACAAGAAAATAAAAACCTGAAATCATGAAACTATCCAGAACGTGATTTAAAAAAACAAAAACAACAGTATTAATACTATTAAACCCTTCTAAAAACTCAATAAGAAATAGCTAGTACCATACTACCATTGTATATAGAGATCAAGCTCACCAGCTGAGCTGCTGTGATGGCGGAAGAATCCGAGCCAATAAAGTGGTTCAACAATAGCAACGAGCCAAGTATGTACCCTATATATCTCGGTAAGTACGATTCATCCAGTCCAGGTATTCCTAATTCCAGATTTTAAAAACAATATCAAGGCATTCATATACAATTAGTCAATTATAAACGAACACCACCCATACATATGAAACTGATACGGAATGAGACATGATATGTGCATACCGAGAGTGAAACGAAGAACCGAGAGTTGGAGATGACCCGCCTCGGTTTTGGTGCTTCCGGAATAGTAATCCGTTCGTTTACAGCAAATTTTAAATGCCGATTTTCGGATCCCAGGGCGGAGAGTTTCCGGCGGACTCTGAGATTTGGTCCGGCTTCTCGAAGGGAGTGGAACGAACAGAGCGAGTGAGACGGGACTGCTGCTCATTTTCGCTTGCATCTGTGGAGGAATCGGAGTAGACGGATGCTTCAGTTGTTTCTCCGTTTTTGTTCAATATTTTATTAGATAAATGGTTTTTAATATGACTAAAACATAAAAAAAAAGTATTAAAATATAAGTTTCATGTTTTTATTTCTTAAATAAGAATTCGCATTGTGATAATGTGTCACTGCGCACATTACTATACTTTTTGGTAGTGCACATGATCATGTTTGATAATATAAATGCATTTTAACTCATATTTCAAGAATAAAAACATGAAAATCCTATTTTAGTATATTTTCAACGTTTTACTCATACTTTTGTCTTTCTTCCTACGGAGCATTTCAGACTTTTATATAACAAGGGGTTTTTCATATTTATTCTTCGATTATCAAATCTTACTCATGTAATCCCTCTTTTATAGGTATTTTTCATAAATAATCCTTTTTGACATGACCTTTTGTCATATTGATGTAATTTGAAAGCTAAAAGTATATAACTTGACACCAATATTATATTCAATAACATATTTTAATATCAATTGGACGGACAACACAACAGTTATGTCTGTGAATTTGGATTAAGATTCCATCGAAAAACCACATGTAAAAATTATGGATGTAGTAGAAAATGGCTAGAATTCACAAACGACACATCAAGAGCAGCACTAAAATATGTATGACAAGAAAGATATATGATTATTATTAAATTGTACTTTTAACCTTCAAATTAACACAAACATGATAGAAGATCAAAAAATGACTATTTGTGAAAAGATACACATAAAAGAAGTACCACTGATATAATATTTGATAACAAAGATATAAATCATGAAAACTCTATATTATAGAAGACTTATTATAGAATTTACTCATCAAAGAAATACTACCCTCAAATTCTCTCATACTTTGCCAAATAAGTACTTCGCATTTCACTACATTTAAGTTCAATAATTGTATCTACCTTAAATTAGTTTTATAATATATAAAAAAATTCTGTCACATTTATTTATAAATATATATTTAATCATTCAAAATTTTAAACACAAAATTTCACTACAAAAATCGGGCTGATTTGCCATGGAAACTTATGTCGCAAATAGCTAGAAAATTCACAGTAATAAGCATTTGCAACGAAAATTCCGTAGTAGTAATTCTGTCACAATGACCTTATTCGCAAATTGTTTGTTTGCTATGGAAATGAAGGGTTGTGACAGCTTTTTGGTAAGTCATATTAGGAAGCTTTCTGCGACGAAACGGCAATTGAGGGGTCCTTGGAGGTCGCCCGGATGCCACGATCGCATTGGAGTTGGTTCCCGCCGTCAATTTCGCCGGATTTGGCCGGAAAACGCGGCATCCGTGGCATCCGGGCGACCTCCAAGGACCCCTCAATTGCAAGATTTGATGAAGATTTGCAAAACCCCCAATTTTGGATCCAATTTCAAATTTTAGTGTTTTTTCGAGTAGAAAAATTCAGATTCGAGAAGTTACAGGCCAAATTAGACAAAATGGTTTGGATATTATTGATCCTCGTCTCAAGACGAAGAGAATGACATTGGTCCCGCCGGAATCGGAAAAAGTTCATTTTCCGGCGACTTTGACCGGCGGGCGGCGGCGGCGGGGCGTGGAAGAAAAGAAAAGAAGAAATGGGGTCAAATTGAAAATTTTAAAATATATAAAATTCGAATTTGGCCCTAATGACCGGAAGTTAACCTAGAAACGGGCTAATGGCTCATTAGTGAAAGTATTGTGTAAGTTCAGGGATTTTTGTGAAAGGATTTGAAGTTCAGGTACTACTTCGAAATTCCAGCTAAAGTTCAGGTACCATTTGTGAAATTTACCCTATTTCATTTGGAATAAAAGTTTAGCTATCAAAATAATATACGGAGTATTACACAAAGTTCATGTACCATGAGTACAATTATCCAAAAATAACTTGAAGACTTTGTTTTTAGAGAATTCTCTAGATACGAATAAAAATAATTCATCCGCTCCTTTTTCTGTCTTTTTTTCTTGTCCCACAAACTCTTTTTTTTAAATCAAAAAATAACTTTTTACTTCTACTAATTCTTACTATACCAATCATATCATGCCTTTTTACTAATAATATAATTATCACATCCTATTTTTACTCATCAGATAAAAAATATTGTTGGAAAATCAATAAAAAATAGTACTCCCTCCGTCCCCCATAGATCTTCCTAATAGCCCTTTTCTTTGTCCACAATAGATCTTCTTATTTCATTTTTTAACAATTAAAATACCACAAATACCCCCACTTACTTTATTTATTACACCTCACCCACCTCATTTAATACACTCCACCCATTTTTCATTAAGGGTATTATAGTAAACTTTCACCTTTTTTCAACTCTTCTTAAAAACCACCAAAAGCTAAAATGAGAACATCTTAGGGAGACGGAGGGAGTACTTTCTTAAATTTTTTAAAAAGTCAATAAGGGAGCAACTTTAAGGGACAATGGAGTATGAAACACCAAAATAGGATTAATGTGTCTTTTAAGACCAAAATAAAAATTCTCATTACCACTATTTTTCTTTCACACTCACCACATTGCTACACACGTCCACATTGAATGGTGGTCCATCCACCACTATCATTACATTGTCATTTATTTTTTCATCACATTGTCAACACTTTTGCATCACATTATCATTATATTTTTATTTAGAAGATAAAATAAAGGTGACTCACATTTTGGTATGCTAGTTAAATTTTCTATTTTTATAATTCCTCTATAATATTTAACAACTAACTAATTCCTCTATAATATTTAACTAATCATTACGATTTTCATAATTATCAAATTTTGAGTAAATATAAATATACTCAAAAGTTAATATCTACATCTATATTCGTTCAACTTTCTTTTTATATATTTTAAAAAGGTATTATTTTATTTTCTATTTTAGTAATGGAAACACTACTCATAATATTATTGTCTGATCTAAATATATTCTGATCTTAATATATTCTAATCACATGATCATGCCTTTTATGATTTTAACATTCTCAAAACTCAGAGAATGTTAACCAATAAAGCATTTAATGAGAGCGTTCAAAAATTTTATTATAACAATCTAAGTGTTTAACTTTAACATCATGAAAAATTTATCTAAAAACATCGTTTAATGATAACATTTCAAAGTTAATAAACTCTTTAAAAAAATTTAAAAAGCTAATGTTTTTTTAAAGATAAAATGCTAAGGTTAACTGAAGCCATTAGGGAGGAGTATTAATTATATGAATGTGAATACAAAAGAGTAATAATACATCTCCTAGAAGGTTGGTTAAAATAATGACAAAAAATTACCGTAACACCACCAGAGAACAAAAACTAAAATACAGGCAACCAAATACGGGATACGTACACAAATACGTATACGAGAAAAGGAGCGGCCACGTGGCATTCCACTCCACGATCCAACGGTGATGCGGGCAGATCGAAGTCCCCCACGTCATCTCAGCCGTAGATCTCACTCCCATACGGAGACCGACCCCGTCAGCCTTTCTCTCTCTATCCGACGTCAAGCCAATCAAGATCCGCCACGTGCCCGTCAAACCCGACGACATCGGGTCGCCACCACCCGCAGTTTACCGCCGTCTACGTAGCCCTATCGCGTGGTCGAAACGTGTCCGTATAAAGACCGGCTATCACCGGTCCTGTAGGGTTTAGCCCCGGCTGCAGCCGGTCACTCCCCTCCAATTTCCGCGCTGTATAAAAGTCGGCGAACGGAGGGCTGCCGTTCGTTTCTCCGATTATTGCTCCTGCGAAGTCACTCTCTTTTTTTTTCGCCTCGCCCGTTTCCTGGTCCCGAGGTTTGTAGCCCGCCTTCTTCTTCTTCTTCTTCTTTCTTTGTAATTAATTAATTAATTATTCTACTGTACTTTTCTTTCTTCTTTTTTTTCTCTCTATTTTATTATAGGAATATTACTTTCTTTTCTGAAATTCTCGTCAAATATTGAGCTGTAAAGTTGGGTTTTTTTCTCCTTCTTTATGAAAATTTATCCGTCTATGGTTTCTGGGCTTGAACTTTCCGATTCATTTCAGGCACTTGGGAGATAAGCTAGTAAGAATTTGAATTCTATTTTGTTTTTTTCAATGTTCTGCCAGAGCTCAATTTCCGATTTGGTGGCGAATCAGTTCAGTTTTCTAGTCGGATGGTTCCAATTTGGGGATTAAAAAGCTGGTTTGCTTGGGTTGGAGTTAATTTTCTTTAAAATTCTTGTATTAATTGGTTTGGGGATTTTAATTGGCGAGGGCTTGGCATGAATCAGTAAAAAGTTGGTTTTTTTTGTCAATTTGTAAGGAACAAATTAGGGCTTTTTCGCTGAAATTAAGGGGCGTTTACTTTTTTTTGGATGTTATGAGGTGTTCGGGGCAGTTTAATGTTTTCCTGACCCATATTATGCTTTTATGTGTGTTTTTGGTTGTTTGTCTTCAATATTGGAGATTCTGGGTGTGGTCTGGTCCATTATTCTCGTGTTTCTATTTTTGTTTATCTTGGCTCATTATTAAAGCATGGATTTTATACTCTGCATTCGTCAGTTGGTTTGGCATATTATAGATGAGCTAATCAGAAGCTGATGATTTTTTGCTCTTTTTTTGGTTTGGGAGATTGGAATAACTGACAAACTGTTATTTTCAGAAAAATTCGTGTTTTCCAGAGCTGGCGCTGGAGAGCTATTTGGATCATCCAGCCCATCAAGGGAATGCCCCATCAATGGTGCATCCTCGGATGGCACAATCTCCTTCATCATCTGGCATCTTTTTCCAAGGGGACGGTGGACAGTCACACGGAGTTGGGAATCCCCACTTGTCCTCGTCATTTTCAAACTCATCAAATTTAATACACGGGAGTGCAGGACGGTCAAACCTTGGTCATGTGTCCGGAGACGCCGTTTTGAACAGTGTGGCAAGCTCGGGTCCTAGTGTCGGGGCAAGTTCTTTAGTCACTGACGCAAACTCACCACTTTCTGCCGGTCCCAATATTCAGAGAAGTGATTCTTATATGCGTTTGCCCGCGTCCCCCATGTCTTTCACATCGAATAATAACATCAGTATCTCTGGATCATCCATCATCGATGGATCAAATCAAGACCCAATAAACACTCAGCAAAATCACCGAGGAGGATCTAGTGCCACGTCGTCGTTGCCCGCTTCAAGGATAGGTCAGGTGCAACTGCCAAATGGGGCAGGATTGAGAGGTAACGGTTCTTTCATTCAAGATCCTACAATCTCCCAGCTGCAAAAGAGACAGCGGATGGAGATGAAGCAGGAAGACATTCTGCAGCAACAAGTTCTGCAACAGTTACTGCAACAAAGGCAAGACCAGATGCACCTTCAGAACCCCAACCCACAATTTCAGGCATTGATTCAACAGCACAGGCTAAGGCAACAGCAGCAACAAATTTTGCAGTCTATGCCAGTGGCACAGCGAAACCAGCTGATACAGCAGCAACAACACCAGTTGCAGTTGAGACAACAACTTCAACAAGGAATGCAGAGTGGTTCTGCTGCTGTGAAACGGCCCTATGATTCCGGGGTTTGCTCTAGGAGGCTAATGAAATACTTGTATCATCAGCGCCAAAGGCCTCCCGTAAGTATAACTTTTTAACCCCCTCATTCCCAGCTCCAAGGTTCTTGCTCTGAATCTTCATCTTATGGCTTGTTTGGTACTAAGGATGAAGGCTTCCCTTCTGATTTTGAAGACAAATTCTCCCATGTTTGGCACTGTCTTTATTTATTTTTTTTAAATCCCCCCCCCTCAAAACTCAAAAGTGATGAATAACTCTTTCCCGTGTACCGAAGGTTTGGTTTCTCTAGGTTAAGAACGAAGAGAAAGGATATTGATTTTGACAAAAATGTCTTGAACATAACACTCCATCTGTCCCATATCATCTTATCACTTTAACCTGACACTCTCATTCAGAAAATTTAGTTGTGGCTAAGGTTAACACACAATGTCAACCACAAAATCTCTTAAATAAAGTAAACTAAACAGTGGAAAGAGTATTCCTGGTGATTCCATTCTCGTCAACCAAATAACAGTGTGATTTAAAAATCTATGTTATGCCTAACATATTGCTCTCTTATCTCATTTTTTCTTTGTTTTTTCTTTAGGAAAATTCCATTGCCTACTGGAGGAAATTTGTGGCTGAGTATTACTCTCCATGTGCAAAGAAAAGGTGGTGCTTGTCAATGTATGATAATGTTGGTCATCAATCGTTAGGGGTCTTTCCTCAGGCAGCTATGGTACTTGCTCTAAACTTTAATACTCCGTATCTTTCTTTGGCTGCTGATATTTCGGTCTTCTTTGGAATGAGAGCTTATATGTTATACATTTTTCTTCCCAGGATGCCTGGCAGTGTGAGATTTGCAATTCCAAATCTGGAAGAGGATTTGGTAAGTTAGTGAAGAAGTTATTACCATATGTATCTTTGGTTTGTAATTTATTACATGGCTCTGATTTTGCATATTCTGCCTTCTATTTAATCTACTACTTCATATTTTACAAAAGATTTAGTTACTACAGAATATAAATTGGCACAAGACATTGGCAATACTTATAAAAAATGGGCCTATCAGTTACACTGAGACTGAGATGTGTTGAGATACACCTTATATTTTGCCTCTTTGCGTCCCTTTTATCTATACATTAAAGAAATGTCTTAAAAGTCATACCGGACTGGCCAGTTGGGTTGAGCTGGGATCACATATCACCCGGTCCGAGTATGACATTGGATCAGCCATGTCATTAGCCCATTTCAGGCTCCAATGACCCAGTCAAGTTACCAGCTCCACTGGTGGACCATTTCATATGTTGTTATAGCTGCCCTCATCTCTCCCTGGTGCACTCACCTTACAAAGCTAAGAAGGCAGCTATAACAACAACATAGTCAGTAGAATCCCACAAAAAGTTGGGTCTTGGGAGGGTGTGTGTATGCACTATGCAGCTATGTACATTTTATACTTTTAGACAGCATATAGATATAGCTTCTATCTATCATACAATTAAGCTCTGTGGTTGGTTGTGAATTATTAATGTACACTATTGTCCACACAAACACACACACACACAAATATTAGATTTCTTTGATATTGGTTGGATTGTTGACTTCATCTCTAGTTTTATAAATAAACTCATTTTTGAGTTTCATCTCTATTCCACTTTCGTATATTGGTTTCTTATCGCTCCTGAACTAAGATCAGCACTATTTTTCTATTTGATATAACTACCCTTTTAGGAATTATGACTCTGTTGGCCCAATAATCTTGTACTTCTACAATCTGTTGCCTGGAATGATATTTAGCATTTATTTTGTAATAAGCAGACAAAATTAGCATGAACGCTACATTCTTATTACATTATTAGAATATAAGCACTTCATCTATTCTACCCGCTATCCTTTTTCATTCATCCCAAAACTATTTATTTTTTCTTTTTTTATGGGAAGCAGTGTGGTTCATATTGTTTCTGTCTGCATAAACCCCAGTTTTCACATTCTTAGTTCCCATACCTGGTCAAAGCGTGCTCTTTTGTTCTTCAATTCCTCTACAAAGAGTTTAACCACTTGGAAGTTCAGTTTGAGTAGTCATTAAATTCTGTAACAATTGGAAACAATAGTAACATTAATGATATTATATGACTTATTCCTGAGAACATCTTTATAATTGCTTGTTGCTGGGTAATTTACAATTATAATATGGAGTAATTTTTTGGACACAAATTTTGAAAGGGATAGAATTGTAAAGTAACATGCTTAGTTTTTTTAATGCATTGTAAAGTAAACAATGTTTTTGTTATAACTTATAACATCTGTTTCATTTTTGTATGGTGGGTTCAATCAGAGGCAACATTTGAAGTTCTTCCTAGACTAAATGAAATTAAATTTAGCAGTGGCGTTATTGATGAGCTTTTGTTCCTGGACATGCCTCACGAATATCGGTTTCCAACCGGGATAATGTTGTTAGAGTATGCAAAGGCAGTTCAGGAAAGTGTTTATGACCAACTCCGTGTTGTTAGGGAGGGTCAGCTTCGCATAATTTTCACCCCTGATTTAAAGGTAAACAAATAGCTTTTCCATTCTATTTGATGTTTAACTTATATTGTACTAAATACATGCACTGTTTTCCTACATTTTAGATATTATCCTGGGAGTTTTGTGCACGGCGCCATGAAGAACTTTTACCCAGGAGATTAGTTGCGCCACAGGTAAATAGGTTTGAGGTTTATCTTTTGTTGTTCAAGTGAAAAATTGATTTCATACTTCTTCTTTTTTTTATTTTTAATTAATACTCCCTCCAGGAAAATTGGCATTCTAATTTTACACAAGTAGTATTTTATTATGCCTCGCAAGTGAAGATTTTCGTATATGATAAATATGTACAACATGCACACTATCTATTGGGGGTGAAGAATGAAGAGAAGATAATAAATTGGAATAAAACATCAAGGTCTCAGAAAACAACCGTAATACTCCATAGAAAATACCAATAATCCTTTTAATGGCGCCCTTAAATAAGGACCAGATGGCATTTTATAAAAAGAATTTGCCCAGTCAAGATTGACAGGCCAACAAAATCGGGTTTTTACCACTGGCATTTCATTATTGCTCTGCTATTTCAAACAACAATTCTATTACTAATTATTTTTTTCAATTTTTTATTAACTGTTTTGCCTCCCTACCTCCAAGTAGGGGTAAGGTCTGCATCCACACACCATCTTCAAGCCCTACTTTTGGTTGGATTTTATTGGGTTTGTTGTATTATAACTGCTTTGATTCTCTTAGCTGGCTTAGGTATGTACGTGTAGATTAAAAAATTGAAGTATTGAACAGTATTGGAGATGTAAGGCATTTGGCCTATCATTTTGTTATTTGACATTGAAACAAAATTTGTATATTTATTTTGATGTTCGGGCCATTGGCGTTGCAGGTGAACCAATTGCTTCAAGTTGCACAAAAATGCCAGACCACAATATCAGAAAGTGGACCCGATGGGGTTTCTCAGCAGGACTTGCAAGCAAACAGCAATTTGTAAGTGATAATTCAAGTGTTGGTGCAATGCAAATCACTTTTGGCATCCTTTTTCGCTTATCAGCAAGTTTTTCACCAACGACTAACTTAAATTTTTTCTTTTTTTGATAAAATGAACGACTAACTTAGATTAACTCTGAAGGAAAAAAAGTATGGTCCATATTACTTCTTTCATATCTAGATAAAATTCAACGATACAATATCGTTCTCTTAAAATCCGTGCAAAATGCAAATGAGAGTAGAGGTGGGAACTGAGGGAGTATTACCATCACAGGTCTTACCAAACAGGATCATAGTTGGGAGTTTAAAGGGTACTTGTACTTCCACTAACTAACACTAGTGGCATTTACTGTTGTTTAGGGTTGTAACGGCTGGACGCCAGCTCGCCAGGAGTATGGAGTTGCAATCAATAAATGATTTGGGATTTTCCAAAAGATATGTGAGGTGCTTACAGGTATGTGACATTTACTCCCTCCGCCGCTGAATAAATTTACCTACTTTCCTTCTCCATCCGTCCCATAATAATTTATCTACTTTTTCTCTTTCCTTTTTGAAAAGAATATTTCGTCTTATCTTATCTCCTCTTCTAAACAAATTCTAACCGCTCAGTTTTCAACATCTTGTCAACAATTTGCTTAATCTCCCTAAAATCAAAATGGGCAAATTATTAAGGGACGGATGAAGAACAAGTGATAATTCACCACATCTGCCGTATTAATCTTTTGCTTTTCGTGATATTCCTTGTGCCTCTGATGTATTATTCCCAGATAGCTGAAGTTGTAAATAGCATGAAAGACTTGATGGACTTCTGCAGGGATCAGAAAGCAGGGCCTCTTGGTAATGATTTTTTTTTGTTTATTTCCTTTCTACTTTCTTCCCCCATTACTCCTGCGACACGCAAATAACATGTATTTTGTTCCACTACTACAGAGAGCTTGAAGAATTTCCCACGACACGCAACTGCAGCTAAGCTTCAGATGCAAAAGGCGCATGAAGCGGAGCAGATGGGACCCAATGATCGCAACAAGCAGATAATGGAAATGCAACCGGGTGCGGTACATAACGGTCAAATGGGCAATACCAACAAACAAATGGTTAACCGCGGAGGAGGAGTAGACTCAAGCGGGGGTGGCCCTTCAGCAGCACAAGCACCCAATAACAACAATAATAATAATCATAACCATTACCAGAATATGTTGGTACGTCAGAACTCAATGAGTACTAACGCTACCAATTCTGCAGTCAAACAGGAACAATCTTCTTTGCTCAACCAAACGCCGCTTCAAGGACAACCAAACGGCGTCTTTCTGACATCCACCAATGTCCAACAACAGCAACAACAACCTCAGCAGCAGCAGCAACGTTTGATGAATCAGCAGCAGCACACGAACAACCAGGTGGTACAACAGCAAATCCTCCAGCAGTTGCTGCAAGATATTAACAGCAGTGGAAACGTGGCGGGACCCGTATCCGCGCTCAGGAACAACAGTTTCAAAGCAGCAGCAGCTTCTAACAGCGAGTCGTCAGCCACCCCCAACAATGGGTTCCCTCAGAGCATGGGACACAACAATCTTCATATGTCTGAGGATATGTTGCCCGACATATCATCGGATTTCACAGATAGCTCGTTTTTCAACAGCGATCTTGACAATAATATGAACTATGGATGGAAAGCGTGACCAGTAGCTAACATTTGGCCTTAGATGAGAACTACTTTGGCATACATATTTGTACAGCTTGCTTTAAACATTACACTTCCCTTCTCTCTCTCTCCCTCTCCTGCCTGTTTTAGTATGTTCTGCTGTGGAGAGTAGCTGTGTGTACCCTGCTAGGTGTGCTTTTTTTCTTTTTTGAAATCTCATTTTATCGAATTTTCTCTCTTGCAAGTGTAATCTACGGAGATATGAACTCATCAACTTTAATTTGGTATTAACAGAGGGATTGTTCACTTCTGTTCATTATTACATGCCTATGGTGAGGGTATTTTGGGAAACTTGATCTCAATAATTAGAACTATTTCTTTAAAACAAATGGAACATCCTTGGAGATGTTTTCCTTGCAAAAAGGATTAAAATGACAGGCATAACAAGTGTGTTTTTGTTGGTTACACAATATTTGCGTATATGTACAAAGAAAAGGCATCTATTCAACCAAAGCAAAAGCAGCTAAACTGAGCACAACATTACAAATCCCAGTTTCGACAAGTGCCAAATGTATATGAATAAAGAGTTATTAGAACTTAAC